TTGGGACTAATGGAGTACTTTGGGAACGGCGCTTTTGTTCTCGCCAGATACGTGAGCGACGAGTACTTGGAGGGGTAACAGGCCTTTCTTCCACATTTCGTGTACTCTCTTGTCTGTTACCATAGTCACCGATGGGACTTGTCACCGATATAAGGAAAAAGACTGACTCCAGATTGGAATTAGAGGCGGTAGAGGAAATTGTATTGGAGAGATGTTTCTTTTGACGCCACTTCCGTGAGCGCAGGGTGCTGGGAGGTGTGACTAGAGCCTATTTGGATACAGGTCTCACAGATTCTGAATGGACTACTCCCTGAATATCCGGCCTGGAAGGGGATATGGTGTTTGGACCATGCTGGGCAAGTGCTTTTGCCAACCGAATTCTCTCCCTGTGCGCACGGCTGCGTAGGGTTGAACGATTGATGGGGGTAGGTGCCGGAGGCTGTTGAATATTTGGCGCAGCAGGTGGTACTGCACCTTGTTCGGAGGATGCCATTTGGTAAACCGAGATTGGTGTATTGTTGGGCTCAAATTTCTCTTCTTCAAGGAAAGAATCAAAGAGCTCGAATTATTGCTTATATTCAGAGGGAACGGGAGGTTTCTACTTATTGATTATGTCATACCTAAACTACGCTGTTGGTTGGCCCTATATACACAGATTTTCTACCCTAATTTTGCCAAGGCGTCCCCCATTGCGTCCCCCGGAGCGTCCCACTTACTACTGTGTCTAGACGGCTTCCACCATATCGCGAGTGCCTGTTGGATTGTCGGGCATGTGGTTAGGAGATATGCGCTTCTAGGGCACGCGGCTTTTGTGATGTGTGGTGAGCTGGCATAGGGGTTTTTTTGGTCTTGCTTTCACTTCCGGTATTGATCGGACATGGGGTATCTCCTGGATCCATGAGACATGGCAAAATCTCTCTCATGGATCCAGGAGACAGGTTCTTTGTTTTGTTGATACTTGTTGTCATGGGACATCAAGTATATGGATCTGCTTTGCCTCTTTGGCGTCCGATGTTACTACGCATACCGCAGCCGGCCCGGGGCACCATAAAGGGTTATGAGATATCTTATCGGAAAGTTCTAGTTGGAGGATCACTGAGGATTCCTTTAGAGTTCGTGGGGTTTCGGCCGGTTTCCGGAGTTAGCTGTCTAGTAATATACTTCCCGGTTTGTCCATAGCTAGTGTCTCCATTGATCGCCCGGTTCACCGTCCTCCGACACCCCGCTTCCGTTCGGGCTTGCGGTGATCGCACTTCCACTGCATCATTTTTTGGTGCTTTTCTTTAGGCCTTATCAGTGCCCGATGTTACACTTTTCTTGAAGAATAAACTGCAGATTTTTTGTACTCCTTTCCCCCGGTTTATACATCAATAAGGTGAAAAAGGGGTGGAAACAAGTAAATAGTTGTCTTGATTGGATGATGGGGGTGGTGGTTTACATACTTCTAAAATTGCGGTATGATCCGAATTGTGGCTCTCATCCTTCGCTCTTTCGATTTTTCTTTGCCAATTATATGACCCATCAGTTGTGGTGGTGTGCTAGGTGAAACACTGGAACCCTGCTGAGGAGCTTTTTTCTCTCCATCTAAAGATTCCAGACCCGCCGGAGGTATCGTGCTGCAAGAATATCTTATTGCGCGGTATCAATATGATACCGGTAGTAGGTTTCCGATCCGGGAGCCTAGTCTGCATAGTGGGTAATCGAGTGACAGCGGCACACCAGGGCTGGAAACCCTTCCAGCCAAAGGGAATGCGCACCTAGCTCACCTTCACCCAA